ATAGATGCTAAACTACCCCTGGGAAATAAACAAATCGAGTATTACCTCGTGGACTTAGCCATGGCGTCCGATCTATATGGATCATGCTAAGAGCTGTCGGTTCTACAAATGCTTTCGTAGAGCGGGTAATCCTGAAGGCCTCTGATTCGACAAACGCGAAGCACGACTTGCCTTGAAGTTCTATCTTCGTGTGCATGTGTGCTGTGGCGGAGCACTCTCCATGGACGTATGATATGGGGAAGTGCAGTACGGGAACAGAACCACCTGCAGTACAATATGCCACGTATTTCTTGACTTGCTTGCCGTGCTCGTTCTCCCCCCGCTACTAAATGGACCCTTCTATATTTTGGAGCTTACAAGAGCGCAGTCGGCAGTGTAGTCGAAGTGCCTGGGCCGCATGTTGATTCCGATCGGTCTTATCATGTCTTATCTATGCCTTGATTGTTTGCATCCTAGCGGCTCTCTTAGTTGCGACTTCTATATGTGGCGGGCCTGCATGAACATCATAGCGGCATTGCATAAAATCCAAATAGATAATATCAAAGGCGATACTACTAGATCAAGGCCACCTCCCCATAAATATCGCTAATTATCTAAATCTTAAGATAAAAAAAGAAACAGGTCTCTAGAATCCCTGAAATTGGCAAAAAAAGGATCCCAAAAATTCTCAATTAATTAGGCTCTCAAAAATTCTATGATCGAGAGATTCCCAGAAATTTAAATTTTATCAGTTTAAGATGATTTGAATTAATTGTTGCCATATATTGTGACTTTGTATCAATAATTCCTAGCGGCCTTGAAGAAGTTGTCGGGACTCCGCCCGACTTGCCTGAGGGCGGGGTTATTGGCTCGGCTTGATGGGAGCCGGCTTCATGGCTCCCTGGTTCCATTAATTTGTCTTTCCCTCTTTCTGATTCTTTCCGTCCCCCTTCTTGCCATCTCCCTTCTTTCCTTTGCTATCCTCCTGCCACCCCCCTCTTTCCTGCTCCTTTCCCTATCTCTCGTTGCACCTTGAAGTCATGACGGAACTCCTTTGCTGCTCCCTTTGCTTCCGCTAGACTTAATATCATCTCCTGCTCCAGAGGTACCAGCTCCAAATTCTGAGCCACTGCCCACGTCGACCCTATTAATACTATTTCGATAGCCTTCAGCCTCTGCATCATTAAATCCATTGCTCCCAGAAAGTCTCGCTGAACTAGCCGGTCGAAGGCATACCCCAAAGTTAGGAGCTCTCGCTTCTGGGATGGTGTGGGGTTCTTCAGCATCACATGTAAGCGAAGATAGCGAAGAAGAATTAGACGAACTGTGCTCTCGCTCTCCTCTCCGACATGCTGAACCAGGAGACGGGCCATCTCGTCTAAGGCGTGCCGGGTCAAGATCCCGGGTATGGTCTTTGCTAGCCTTTTCACTCGATGTCCTTCGCGGAAGGGGTGGCCTGAATCCTCGGAATCCAGAGTGGCCCCCGCTGCTGCTGGAGCTCGTGCTGTCCATGTGATTGCTTCTGCTGCTGTGGCTGCTGCTGATGTCTTTCCGGCTCTTCCGTTTTTTCTTGGAAGCTTTTTTCTTCTTCTTGTGGCGGCTGCGCAAGATCTATCGCACTGTAAGCTTGCTGTCCAAAGGTGTTCCCTCGAAAGTGTTGTTGCCTGTTTTTCTGGATATCATGTTTGGGTCCTTCTTTCTGGATGGCTTCGAGGTGTCTGGGGAGAGAGGGAAATCCCGCAATCTCTTGGAGCTCTCGAGCGAGATCTCCCGTCCCTACTCCGGTATCGTCCGCGATCCCCTCTAAATTCCTCCCCCAAAGATCCCCTGGTGCCTCTCTGCGTACGGCCGTCCCGTGCAGTGAGCCTCGAGCGAGGATAGTCTTTGGGCAGCCCACGGGATAGAGGGGAACGCTCATTTCGGCGGGGTTTCCGCACTTGATCGACTCCATGGCCCAAGTCTTTAATTCGGGACTATTGGTTCTCTTGAGTAGAACTGTTGCATGGCTTCCCCCTCTCCCTGTGATGATATGCTCCAAACGTCCTAGAAGCTGACATGGTGCACCCCAATAATCTCCTAAGAAGACGTAGTCGCTCCCGTAATCCCAGAAACTTGATGGCACCATTAAGACACAAAGGCTTTCTCCACGTTCCGCTCGACCCTTGTAATCGAAATACTTCCGAATCTTACCTCCTAAAGAAGGAGACCGGCCAAGATCAACCTTGGTCCGAGGACGAGAACTCCTGAGGGAAGGCCGCCTCAAAATGCCACGAGATCCCATATATATTCTGCTCCAAAAAAGAAAAGATTTAAGAATGATGACAACTCCAAATAAGATCTCGGGCCCGCCTGCCCGTCAATCAAGATCCGACTCCGAATCGGACCAGTCAAAGGTCTCGCCCTCGTAGTTGAAATCTCGAGCCTTTGCCATCTTATATCGAGCATCCTACCACGTACGCCTGGAATGGCCCTTGTTGCTCTTCTTACGTTTGCGCTTCCCGGAGCCCTCGTTCTCAGTCCCACTATGGCGGCGAGCGACGGATGAGCTAGCCGGATTATTATTTGGAGGCTCTCTTGGGGTAGCTGCTTGGGACTCCTTGCAAACATCAGCCCAACGTTCACCCGCAGGAGGCTTAACAGCACTGGGAGCATCGATTGGCAGGGAACCTCCAAAGTGCCTCAGATCCCTTAATTTGCTCTCCAAGGTGGATATACAAGCTAGGATATTCTCAGCAGCCCCTTCCGGCAAACGCAGTCACACGCCACGAACACGATCAAGGCTTCTGCAAATGGCACACGTGCGTCCACCTGATGTAAGGGGCCTGAGGTCAACACTAAACTTGCAAGATATGCTACACTTGACTTCGCTCATCCTTCAGAGAGAAAAGGGCTACATCGCAAAAGAGTGGTCACGGTCTTAAACTACGTGTTGAGTCATATCTCCGCTGTTGTCTCACTCTGTCTGTGTCTGGGAGCCGGATACTATGCCGCGCCTCGCCGGGAATTTGATTCCAGGCCCTAAACCTCTAACCCTGAACCTTAAATCCTAAATTGTTGTCTCCGTCCTGCACAAAGTGTTGTCGTTTCGAATTTGCTATCTTATTCGAAATTCATGTAATATCTTAATTGGTTTATTGCTGACTGGGATCTTCGCTGATATAATTTTATCTTTGATTTCTACCTTATTATCTAAATAAAATCAATAAAATCAAAATTATTATAAATATTTAAATTCTGAAAAGATAAGATGATCAAATAATTATTCAAATAAATATTCAGATAGAGATATAAAGAAATATATTAATAATTTCTCAAAGAAATATAAATATATAAAATCCCAGATAGATGGAGTTCATAGAGAAATAAATAGAGATCTATATGAGAGAAATAAAGAAAGATAAAGAGAGAGATATATAGCGAGATGTTGAAATAGATATAAAAAAATATAGAGGCAACCCCAAATATATATTCAGAGATTCATATATACAGATATATATGCACGCACCTAAATACCACCATTTGCAAAATAGGATACTAGAACTCACGATATTAAAATTTCAGAAAAATATCTGCCACGAATTTTTCCCCAAAAAATCAGATAATAAATATTCACAAAAATAAATCCCCAATTACCTAAATTTTATCATCATAAATATATCCCTTTAAATTTCGCGAAATTTAATTTATATATTAAGAGATTTCTTGAACCAAATTTCTTGAAATTTTTCTATCAGAAAAAGAATTTTTCCCGATATTATTCTGAAATTTTAAGTGTGCGAGATAAGCACATAAGAAATTTTCAAGAAGAAATATATCAAGCAATTCTTGAAAAAAAACGATCATTACGCTCCCATTTAGTTCGAGAATAATCAATAAATAAATAAATATATATATATATGCATTTTTTGAAAATTAATATATTCTTATGAATATCATAAAAAATGAAAGAAATATTCGAATCAATAATATTTATTAATTAAATAAAAGATATTATTAGAATTCTTCTTATAATATTAATATTTGAAATCATCTTAATATTTTTATATCTATTAATATATTTTAATTTTCTCTTTATCGAGATTTCTATTTTAATAAAATGAATATCATTAATCTGAGAATTAAATATATCGAAAATTATATTTTATGTATATAAAATTATTCTATATTTATGAATAATAATTATATCGATTCTATTAAATATTTTTAAGATATCTTAATATTAATGATATTCGTTTTATATATATTTATATATTTTTTTTCTTTTTTGATTGTCTTTCCGGCAGCATTCGTCAACCGCATGTAGGGCGAAACCATGCAGTTCTGCATGTCGCATACCAACTTGTTGTTGGTGGCATAGGAAAGATGGCAGGTCATACACAAGTTCGAGTTGCGTCGAAACGCAAGGTCGAGGCCAGGAGACGGCCTTCTGGTGAATAGTATACCTACTTGCTGCTTTCCACGGTGGCCCAAAGGATGGGACGTTGGCCAAGGCAGCGCGCAAGGTGCCGAGGTCGCCACAAGCTGTGGACAAGCTTCTTCTCTGCGGTGACCATCTGACCGAATCTTGCGGATGGTCCAACCTCGCCAGTTACAGATCCTCCTTTTTGGGGCCTCGCTGTCCCTCTGCGTTGCGAAAGTTTTCGCGCTGACGTACCTGGACACTCCTGCTGCAGATGTGCCACGGCAGGTGCTGTCCCGCAAAACGATGCCTTGCTTTCTGGAAGATCAACGAGTCACACGAAGCCCTGGTCATCGTAAGGCTCCTGGGTCAAAGAAGATCCTCAACTCTCCACCAAGTCATGCTCTCAGGCACGAATACCTGGGCTAAAAAGGGGCCGCCGCGCCAGCCTCTCTCCCAAGCTGGGCACCCCATGCCTTGGTTGACTTCTGAACCCCTCCTAAAAGTTAAACTTTATAGAAACCCAAGAAGTTCAAGTCCTAAGAGCCAACCAG